TCCTAACCGGCCTGGAATACACTTTGGAGGCCAACCTGACCTCAAACTTGAACTCTAAGCAAGTCTCCTGCTTCTGCCTTCCGAGTGTCATGATTACAGATGTGCACCAGTACACTTGCCTTAAGAGGATGTCCCCTGGAGAGAAACTGGGTCTGAGTTCATTCTTGGGTTCAGGAAATAGGATTCCAGGGTCTCACACATGCTAGGCAAGCACTCTAGCCCTGAGCCACAACCCCATCTGTCTCTCTTCTGACTCTGTGACCTCAGGACTTATGACTGAATCATCCCTTTTTCTCCTTGTAAAAAGGGTGGTTTCAATCCTTTGCCTGTATACTTACTGAGATCATGCTAATGCACTGAGAGGGTAGTCATTTTCACTTGGGTTTGCACTGAGACTATATGGAGAACTTAGACTGTGGCCTGGTTCTGCACTTTCCAAGAGTCCTGGCCGGGCGGGGGGGGTGGGGATATGGATTTGATCAAAACACATTGTGTACTTGTATGAAATTCTCTAACAACAAATGGAAAATATATTAACAAAATATAAAGAATTCTGGGCTGGGACTTAGGTCAGTGATAGAGAACTTGCCTAGCATCCCCCAGACTCTAGGCTCAATCCCTAATCACACAGACACGCTCACACACACACACACACACACACACACACACACACACACACACAATTTTTTTTGTTTTGAGACTGGATCTCACATAGCCTGGCTGGCCTCAGATTTACTATGTAACCAAAGATGGCCTTGAACTTCTGATCCCCCTGCTTCTACTTCCCAGTCTGGCATGCACCACCCAGTCTATCTTACGTGATATTGAGAGGCCAATCCAGGGCCTCCTTGGGCTTCACAAACAGTTACCAAGTGAGCTACAGTCTATCCGTGTCCTCAAGTCATCCCAATATTGAGTATTTGTGTAGCAGGCAGCGTATTTATTGTTATTTAGTGCTGTCTGTTTTCTGTATTGCTGGCGCTGTGGTCAGCTTGCACAGGCTCTCCCTTTTTATAATAAGCCACTGGGTAAAGAGCTGGTACTTAATGAGCACAGACTGCAGCCAGGCATTCTTGCATGCATTCCACATATGGGATCACACTCAATTCTCACAACAGCTTTATCTACCAGGTAGCCTACTACTTAATGATTTAGAACCGAGGCTTAGAAGGGCTAAGAAACTTGACCACAGTCCTCCAGCTAGCTGACCTCAGAGCCAGTATTCAGACTCAGATTTTCACTAAATTCAACACTACTTGCCACAGATAGCACAAAATGCAAATGAAGCTTGAAGGCCTTACAGAAGCAATGCAAACAAGAAGTCAACAAATAAGAACACGTTTTTACTTGCAAAAAAAAATTGCTGGAAAGTAAATGTGGAGAAACGAGCATTCAAGGGTCAGTCCTGCTCCTCTACCAAGTTTTGACTTTTGAGACAGGGTCTCACTATGTAGCCCTGGCTGCCCTGGAACTCACTATGTAGGCCAGACTGGCTTTGAACTCACAGAGATCCACCTGCCTCTGCCTCTCCAGTGCTGGGATTAAAGGCATGCGCCACCACGCCCAGTTTATGGTAAAGGCTTGATGCCCTGGTAATTGGAGACTCAAGTTGGTGAGCTATGGCCGTTTTTTTGTGCGGGGCCTTGACAAGCTGCATGTGAACTGAGCACCTCACCCTGGACAAAGGGTAATAGTGAGGGTTAGCATTGTCTGAGACACCACACAGACGTCAAAAGGCATTGCACCACCCACACAAGCTACCCATGTCAGCTTCCAAATGGTGGGCAGGGTGAAAAACTAGACGTATTTTCAGATCTTCTAGTATGACTCAGAATGGCTAGGGTAAATGTTAGTGATCTGGGAAGGACCAGAGGTGTATTTACAGTCCTGGGGAAGGGCTGTAACGCACAACCAACAGGACAGCTGGAGAGATGGCTCAGCAGTTAAGACGGCTTCCTGTTCTTCCAGAGAACCCCAACTTAGTTCCCAGTGTGGAGTTGAGTGGCACACTGTCTGTGATTCCCGTTTCTCCCAGTCTCGCTGTTGTGAGGCCCTTTGCACGCACATGTGCACATTCCCCACAAACACATCAGTAAAATGAATCTTAGAAACAACTCAAAACACCCATAAAAAAGAAAATAAGCATAGAGAACTTCCACCCTGAGAAATCTAACTGGGTGATACAGATTCAGGTTCTTAGTTTTTCTGGAAATGTTTTTTTTTTTTTTTTTTCTTTTAAGGATGGCAACACCAAGCCCTGCTTGGTCTAGGATCCATGATGAGCTGGCCACACCTTTAATCGCAGCACTTTGGAGGCAGAGACAGTGGATCCCTGAGTTCAAGATAGAGTTCCAGGACAGCCAGGGCTACAAAGAAACCCTGCCCTGAAAAACCAGCCAACCAACTAACCAACAAACAAACAAGCAAATACGGGATCTCTGACGAAGCCTTCTGACCAGAGACCTTAGCCATTGGATAAACCGAGTCACTGACCTTCCAACTTTGCTTTTTCCTCAGGATGCCCGCTCAGAGCAGTGTCAGCAGAAACCCAAGGCCTCTGCAGGGACTCAGCCCACCAGATTAGCTGGGAGGCTGATTTCATTTATTTATTTATTTATTTATTTATTTATTTATTTATTTGTTTGTTTGTTTGTTTGTTTGTTTTTCTTGGCACTTCAGGGGACTCGGCTAGGGACTGACGTGGTGACAAGTGTCACTGATCCACATTGCTGAGTGAGCACCACGGGGCCTGAAGCAGTGTCTTAAATAACAGAGCAGAAAGCTGGCCACAGCTCCCTCTTTTCTGCTGAGCCACATCATCTCAGTCATAGTAAAGTGGCTTTCTAGGTCTATTTTGCCTTGTGCAGTCTGGTATGTAAGTATCCTTTCTGAATGCAAGGTTAGATAAAGTTCAGAAATGGTTTACATTTGCCACACACCCCTGCTAGGAAGCACATGGCATCATCCCTTTAAAAAGTGCCCTGTACCAGAGTTCCTTGTTTTCTTCATGGTGCTGGGAATGCAGCCCTAGGCCTTGAGCATGCTAGTCAAGTGCTCTACCCCACTTACACCCTGGGCCTTAGGATTCTTAAACTAAATATTGAGGAGGCTGGAGGGATGACTCAGTGGTTAAGAGTATGGGCTGCTCTTCCAGAGGACCTGGGTTCAATACCCAGCACCCACAAGACAGCTGACAACTGTAACTCTAGTTCCAGGAGATCCAATACCCTCACACAGACGTATATTTAGGCAAACAGCAACGCAGATAAAAGAAAAATAAATTCTTTAAAAAAAAAAAACTATTTGAAAGCATCTGCTCTTCAATGGAAAGTCAAGGGAAAAATAAGATTGTAGCAGGAAAGCCTAGAAAAAGACAAACATTCAAAGATATGTATCACTTTAAAAATGCACAGGGTTCATTTATATTAGGGTTTGGGTGTTCTGGGTCTAAAGGGGGAAAAGGAATAAAACCCTAAGCAATCTTATTATCTTCACCACAATGATCAAACATTAAACTTAAGCATATTAAATATTTTTTTAAAAAAGAAAAACTTACAATGCCATGTTGTTGCAGGGTCCCTGTGTGGGGTAAAATGGCATTTTAGGGTCCATAACTCAGGGAGTAGAGTGCTTGCCTAGCACCCACAAGGGCCTGGGTTTAATCCCCAGTATCATACACACCCACCCTCACACAAAAAGGTATTACTACTCTAGAATATCCAGTATATAGAAGCTTATGTGAGAAAGGTGGAAACTGAAAGCTGCCCCTAAGAGAGGAGTGATATTAAAGCAATATTACTGTTTTAAAGGGGGAATTGCTTTTTAAAAATTTTTATTCTTTGAAATCTTCATGCATGTCTGCTGTGTATTTTAATCACAGCCACCTCCCAGCAAATTTTTTTTTTTTACTGTGCAAAAAACGCTTGCAGTGCTGGTCTCCAGAAGTCTTTCAGCTGTGATCCCAGGATGCAGGGCCCTTGCCTACAATCCTCAGAATAAGGGGATTATTTCCAAATGCTGCTTGTTAACCCTTTCTCTCCAGGGCTGAAAAAACCAGGAAATGTGGGAAACACATATTTTTAAGGGTGAGCATTTGGAAGGGGAAGAGGACTTCTGTTGGCCCGTGGAAACTGTTGATCTCTAAAATAAACAAGAAATCCTGATGGGCCTTCAGACTCTTTTTCCATGCAGATCTTACTACTCCTGTTTCTGATGCTTATAAAATCTATACAGTCTCCTACTTTGGGTCCTATTTCAGTTGAGAGGAGGGAAGCTATATTTTACTTACGGTGACGCCCATGCTGGGCGTGGCACAAGATGGAGAGTTTAAGACCATATTAACTTTGGTTCTTCTGAAAACAGGCCTCAAGTAGTCCAGTCTGACCTTGAACTCATGATTCTCCAGCCTGGCGTCTCTTGAGTGCTTGGATTATAAGCATTTATCACCACACCCTACCAACCTTTGCATTTGAAGGGAGGAACCCTCCCCCCCAAAGCCTAACAAAACAAGCCTAAGTATTTTTTTTTTTTCCATCCTGTAACTGGCAAAGGCTCTCTCCTCCAAGACCTAATCATTTAGCAGACTTATTTGTTCTTGGTCTGTGGAAAACCGATCTTGGCGTGTAAAAGAGATGGCAGCTTCAGAAACACAAAGCAAAAAATAAATTTAAAAAGCTCAGCCAGCCAGGTTGCACTGCGAAGCCTGCCCCTCCCCCTCTTTGAAAATTTCCAGACAAAGGGTGCTTGCTGATGTGTAGTAGAGGCAGAGAATTCCTCGAAGGCGTGCAGCGGGTTGACACATACACGTGGCTGACGCCATCACTTGGGGTCAGGCCTGCCAAATCTGGCCAAGAGGAACTTAGTATTTGTCAATAAGATGGCATTAACGGGCTAGAGAAGTCAGGAGCTCCAAAGCCACGGCAGACCAGCAGTCTGCATCGACAGGGAGGGCTCAGGGCTCGGATCTCAGGCATAAGAATGACAAAAGTCAAGATTTAGGGTTCAGTTCCAGCTGATTTTATTTCCTTCTCAAAAAAAGTTATTTACAGAAGGTATATAGCAACAACCTGACAGGCAGTGATGGACAGAATTAGCTGGCATGAATTTTTTTTTTTTAATTTTCCTTTTTTTTTCTCTTCCCCCAAACATTGCTTTTTTTTTTGTGGCCTTGAATTTTAAGACAAATATTCTACACGGCATATTGCACAGGATGGATGGCAAAAATAAAAAAATAAAAAAAAGTTTAAAAACAAAAACCCTTAACGGAACTGCCTCTTAAAAGGCAGGCGTCCTCGTGCCTGTCATGGTATATTAAACATACATACACACAATCTTTTTGCTTATTATAATACAGACTTAAATGTACAAAGATGTTTTCCACTTTTTTTTCAATCTTTAAACACAACAGCTATAAACCTGAACACATATGCTATCACCATGCCATAAGACTAAAACAATTATATTTAGCGACAAGTAGAAAGGATTAAATAGTCAAATACAAGAATGAAAACGCAGTACATTGTGTCGCGAACTCAAATCGGCATTTAGATAGATCCAGTGGTTTAAACGGCACGTTTTTGCTTATAAAAAAAGTGCAAAAAAGATGTGGTTTACAAGTTAAAGCTACAGAATCCCTTTTTGCTGTGAATGCCCCAGTTTTAAAGCCTCTGGACAGAACAGCAATTCGTTTAAAAATCTGTTTTTCTTAAAGCATTATGGTGCTGGGCTGAACTCTCCTCCCCATCTTATGAGACCGGGGTCGAAAGGTGGAAACCGGGGGCAGGTTAAGGGATACTGTCACTTTAAGAAGCCTGCAGATTGAAGTGTAAACATGGAGAAACCAGGGGCTGATTTTTTCAAACTGTGTGAGATATTAACCAGCCACCCTATTATAAAAATCAGGAAATCCAAACAGCGATTTACACCGATTAACACCCCCTTTATATATTTTTTACAAAAATACACTGAGAAAATAATCAAACGTTTTCATCTCTCTTGTCTTTTTTTGTTTTTTAAAAGTGTCAAAAGTCTACATTTAAATATAAAAAATTAAAAGTTAAAACTCTAGCCCTTCAGTGAAGGAGACGTAAAATGGCGTGGGTAACAACACTAGAAAAAAAATAGAAAGAAAATAAAAGGAAGATAAAAATAAAGAAATGAGGTCAAAAGACAAGAAAGCAAAAGAAAGGGGGGAAAGGGACAAAATAAGAAAACTGTTTGGCCAGTATAAATACGTCCACATATAAAATGGCATCTGATTACATTTACAAGGAAAAAAAAACAAAGATGGAGCGTCCGTGAGGGGGTAAAAATAAACGGGTCTTCTCAATTACACCTATAAGGAACAGACACACACGGAGAAAAAATTTGGTCCTGAATTGTGTTTTTTCAAAAGTCCAGCACAGATTTGAGTTGCGTTTGAATCCTTTTAAAGAGTTAAGAATGAAAAGGAGCTGGTGATCGGTTCGTTGTAGGAATCAAACATAGCGCCATCTATCCGCTTTTTATATTATCCTACACTATTTTAAAAACTGCTCAACAGTCTTATACAGAAATCTTCAAAAGATAGACAGGATAACATGCTATATTAACCCCACCAGTGAAATAACTCAACACCATCACGATTCCCATTAAGAGAAGAAAAAAATCTCTTTCCCCCCCAAAACCACTCCGCGACCCCTGGACCACATCCCACAGTCTCCTGTCCTCCCGCCGGCTCTGGGTAGCCTCACCTCTCCGATTTTTTTTTTTTAAATTCTTTATTTTTGCACAGACCCCAAGCAGAGGCCCGGGGACCCCAACGCCCTTTGCGCCCCAGGTCCTTCTGAGTCCCCAACCAGGCGGCTGTGGCTTCCACGAGGTCCCCATGTTCATTTCCGAGGCTGGCCTGCTGCTCCCTGCACATCTCTGGCTGCAGGGACAAGGAAGGAAAAAAAAAAAAAAAATCCCAACCCGGGACTTCGCCAGCGTGGAGTCTCTCCATGCCAATGCTCCCCCCAAGCCCAACACAAACGCCATGGCCAAACGCATCACCCCGGTGCCTTCTGTCTCCATTGCAGAAAAAGAAAGAGAAAAAAGAAAAAAAAAATACAAAGAAAGGGTGGGAAGGAGAGGGGGCGCGCTGGATTTCCCCCCTCCTCTCTTGACCAAGAGGCAAAATTAAATTCAAATAAGAAATCACCAAGGTGGCGAAGCGAGAGGGGGCAAGATTCCTTCGGTCTCTAGAAGCTTAGCTCGGCTTCTTTTCTTGCTGGGGGTGCAACCAAGTCCGGAAGCTCGTTGGAAGGTGAGTGGGGGGAGTCTCTTCAAGCAAAAATGGGGAGGAAACTCGAAATAGCTTTTTTAGCCACCAACAACATCAATAACAACAATAAAAGGTCGCCTCCGTCTACTCTCCGCCTCCTCCTAGTCCCCAGCCCTGGAAGTGGGGGATGGGAGCGCGGGTCCACTACGCCCCCGCGCTCCTTCTCCAACGACGGGACGTGGTCGAGGCCAGCCCTACGCACTTTTTCTTCCTTTTCTTTTCCCCTTTCTCCTTCCATTCTTCCTGTTCTTTTTCCTCTTTTTTCTTTTTCTTTCTTTTTTTTTTTTAAATTTTTTTTTCGTTTGTTTTGCTTTTGTTTTCCTCTCTCCTCTCCTGCCTCTTGGCCCTCCTTCTCTCCGGCCCGCGCTCCCTTCAGTAGGTGAAGACCAGGTTGGAGATGCTGGACTCCAGCCAATCTCCCGAGATCATCTCGCTCACCTCGGGCGTGCAATAGTCCGGGAACTCGAAGTGGGAACCTGAGCCGGGTTCGAAGTTAAAATCCAGGTCCCGATCGAGCGCCGACGAGGAGCTGAAACTGCCCAGGGACATGCTTTCAAAGTTTGAACTGGGATTCAGGTCGAGCAGGTCGTCTTCGAACTCATCGTCGGACGACGAGGAGCCAGAAGAGGAGGACGACGACGAGGAGAGCGACGAGGACGCGTGTGAGGGCGCGCTGGACGGGGCGGGTGAGGCTGCGCGCAGGCTGGCGTAGCCTCGGTGGTCAGCTGGCGAGCGACCGGCGGCTGGCGATGATGCTGCACTGCTGCGGCCGCTCAGGCTCCGGCCATCGGGCGAGCATCCCGGGCCTCCATCCTCGTACAGCCCCAGCGGATCGCTGGGGTCGGCGCCTGCTCCCAGGCCCCCGACGGGGGACGCCGAAGCGCCTAGGCTCCCGAACAAGTAGACGCGCTTCACTTTCTTGTCGGCCGAGTGCTTGGCAGGGGTGGCCAGCGCGCTGGTCGGCGAGGAGGAGGCGGCCGGGGTGGCCGCGCTGGGAGTCCGCACCTTGTAGACTGCCGCGGGCTCGCCCAGGGGCAGCAGGGCGGCCTGCTCCGGAGAGAACGATGCAGCCGCTTTGCCGCCGCCCGCCGGGACGAGTTTGGCGTGGGGCTTGCCGACCGCGCTGCCGGCCACCTTGGGGCCGCAGCTCTTCTTGGGCGCGGGTTTGGAGCTGCCGCCCGCGCCACCCCCCCGCGTGGCCGCTTCCCGCGTGGCCGCTGCCGCCTGCGACCTTGTCGCCCTTCTCCCCGGGCTTGGCTGCGGCCGCCGATCCCGCGCCCGCGTTGCCCGACTTCACCTTCTTCCGCGGCCGGTACTTGTAGTCAGGGTAGTCAGCCATGTGCTTGAGGCGCAGCCGCTCCGCCTCCTGGATGAACGGGATCTTGTCGCTGTCCTTGAGCAGCTTCCAGCGTTTGCCCAGCCGCTTGGAGATCTCGGCGTTGTGCATGTCGGGCGACTGCTCCATGATCTTGCGCCGCTCGATCTGTGACCACACCATAAAGGCGTTCATGGGCCGCTTGATGTGGCCACTGGGCGTCTTGCACCAGCTGGGGTCGTCCGCCTTGCCGCCCGTGGACGCGGTGGAGCCAGGCGTCGGGGAGGACGCGATGCCCAGCTCCAGGCCCGCGCCCGAGTCCGAGCTCTCCCCGGCCAGCAGCGCCTCCGTGTTCTCCGCGTTGTTAGTCTGCTGTACCATGGCCCCGGCTCGCCGGGCGCCCACGCGCGCTCACACGCTCGCGGCGCGGTCGCCGGGCCCTGCGGGCTCCCCGGGGCGGAGACCAGGGTCCCCCGAGCGGCGCACGGGCCAGGGGCGGCCGCCTCCTGCCGCCGACCTAGAGTCCCCGCGGCCCTCCGTCCTCCCTCACCGCTGCAGTGCTCCCTGCGGGCGCCGAGGCTTGAGCCGGCCACAGCTAGGAGTTTCTCCAAACGTTGATGGCCCGAGTGTCTTCCAAATGCAAGTTTCTCGCCGCCTCCGGGGCAAGTCTTCCCTCCCCCCCCTTCCCTGAAGCAGTCGATTGCAGTTCACGAGAGCTCGCGGTAGCTCAGGAAAGCGACATCGTCTCTAGCGCCTAAGTCCCTTTCCTGCAGTGCAAAGCCAAAGCGACTCTGGCTCCGGGACTCTCTGTGGGCGGAATCGGCGCTGAGGAGTTGGTGCAATTATTTTGTTGCAAGGTAGGAAGCCAAGAAGCTTGCATGCAACAGACCGGCATGAATAAATGTATGTTTCTCCCTCCCTCCTGCAAGAAGGGGAGCTGGTTACCGGCAGAGTTCTCCCACTGCAGACTCTCTAAGAAAGAGCGTGCAAGAACTGGAGACCGGGAGGGAGACGGCCCTCTTCCCCTCACTCTGTTTCTCTGGCTGCAGCTTAGAGCAGACCCCAATTCCGCCTCGCGCTTCTTTATCCTTTCGCAGACAGCCAATCAGCCGCTGTAACTAACGCTTCCTCGTGCCAAGCCCCTCCCCTGTCCTTCCCATTGGCTTGGAACCCGATGCAATAATAATCTCCGCGTGCAATGAGAAGCTCCAAATCTGACCTCATTCCAATTTACAGAGCAAACTTTTTAAAAGGGCTAGAAGTACAGCTGAGATTTCTGCTGCCTCTTTTTTTCCCCTTTTGCTGGGCGCGCGCGCGCGTGCCTGTGTGTGTGTGCGCGCGCGCGCGCGCACGCACGCGCGTGTGTGTGAAGAGGATGTTAATGCATGAAGTTATTAAGGGGAGAGACGGAAATGTATTCTAGCCATTATGTTAGATAACAAGGGGCTTGGAGGGGGGGTAAGGGTGAAATACTGTAAATGGAAGCTTTCTGCTTAAAAGCCGAGTGATTATTTTTATTAGTTCTTTTCAGCGCAGGAATAAAGAATCAGCCTTTGGTGCAAAATCTCTTTTCTCAGCTCCTTCTTAAAGCTAGAGATGTACATGGGGGGAGCCACAACAATAAATCAATGGATATTGAAAACCATTAAGAAAGTGGTACCTAGACACCTGTCATCACAATTATTTTAACAACTCTAGGTACAGCACAGACGTTGGTGTATTGTGTAAATCCCTTCAGGATGCTATCTGTGCTGTTTGTGAAAGGCAGGGAATTTTTTTTCTTTCAGTAATTGCTTACTCTTTTAGCCAAACAGAGGTTAACTAGTTATTTAATGATTTCAGCTCCCCTATAAATCCTGGGTAGCCCAAACAAGGAGATTTTCCTTGAAACGCTAAGGCAGTGGTCCATAATTACCTCAATAAGAGACTTTGTGTGGTTTTGTGTAGGGTGATCACGGTGAATACAGGATGGGAATTGACTTTACTTTCTAAATATTTGTTTTCCACAATTTCCAAACGATAGATGGGTTCATTATCTGCTCTCCTTCCCTTCAGAGCGTTCCATCTTGGTTCTTTCTTACCCATTTTCTCCCGTGTGTGTGTGTGTGTGTGTGTGTGTGTGTGTGTGTGTGTGTGTGTGTGTGTGTGTGTGTGTGCTACTTGAAGCAAATGGGCCTGAAAGACCAAGAAAAAGAGAAAGGGGTTGCAAAGGCCAGTGGGGCTTCTAAACCCATTTCAAGCCCCTTGGCTGGTCTTTTTTTCTGGGTCTCAGTTGTTCTCCTCTGTGCTTTGGGAACCCCATGAGCTTCTTTATAGAAGGCTGTTGTTGGGGCTCGGTGAGTGTGTGATTATAAACCACTGATGTGTGTCCTGAGCCCTCTGTGAATTCTAACACTCTTTCCTTGGTAATGCAAATGCCACTTCTTGTAAAAGCAGCATGTTGTTCAAGAGCTAAGATGGAATATGGTCCCTGATGGTGGAAAAGTCATCAAAAACCCCATTTGGTGGTCCAGGTCTGTTATCTTAGCACCTGGGAGATGGCATCAGGAAGACCAGGAGTTCAAGGTCATCCTCTTCCACTACTTAAGAATCCCAGGACAGCCTGAGCTACATGAGACCCTCTCTCAGAAACCTAAACATGCACACACACACATGGCAGGGAGAAGGTGCCTGGGTATTTAGAATATAGAATAACTTAGCCATACAAATCACTCTTTTCCCAAGATCTGAAAATTCAAATTCTAGTAAAAACTGACCTTTCTTAATATGATAAACTGATTTTTATCAGGCCAGTGGCAGACAGAGGAGTCCAAATTAAACTGAGTTTGGGATTCATAGCAAGGCAGTGCCAGGTGGTCTATTTCCACTTAGCTTGTCAGACTTTCAAAGTATCCAGGCTGGGAAGAGGCCTAGGGTGTCAGAGTTAGACAGTTACTGGAAAGAACACCCTATGGAGACAGCTGATCAAGACTAAGACCAACCACAAGCAAGAATGTTTTTGTGGGTAAAAGCAAATAATTGTTTGGCCATTTGCTACTCATTGTAGCCCTTCTTATTCCCAGAGAATGAAATCCTACAATAGCATGCACCTCCCCCTACCCCCCAAAAAAAACCTTCTGCAAAGAAAGGTACTTTGCATAACAAAGCCAAGGCTTATATGTTTTTTTTTTCTGGTATGCACAGATGCATGTCCTTAAAATACTATCAACCTGACATCTGAATTATTCTAAAAGATCTCTTGTCTATGAAATCAACATTTTCATTATGATAAAACAGAATAAATTTATTTCTTGTAGAATCTGTACTAAATAATGTTTGATAATTTGGCAAAGATGAGTGTTGATATTATAAATATATTGATGGTATTTCCAGTGGTGTAAATCAGCTATCATAATTACACTCATGCCTAACAGAGATTTTATTTAAAAAAAAAATCAAAAAAGAAGTTCCTGGCTTGATTCTTTTGTTAGATGTATTAAAAACAAACAAACAAACTCAACAGACTTTAAGTTGTACCATTATAGTATATGCCACCAAAGGAGAAAAGACCTTTAAGAAAAAAAAAAACACATTTTAATTAATTAATTAATTAATTTTGTATTTGAGTGTATTGCCTGCCACTGGGCATATATGGAGGTCAGAGGACAGTTTGCTAGAGTTGGTGCTCTCTTCCCACTTATCTGGGTCCTGGAATTGACCTCAGGTTGACAGGGTTGTACCAGCTGAGACAATTCACCCACTGGAAAAAGGCTTCCTCACCCCTCTCCCCACTCCCCGAGTATAAGATGCCCCTGTTTCTTCGTTTCTCTTAGAACTGGTGAAATACAGGTTGGTCTCTTCCATTGATTTTTATTACACAGTTACAGAATATAAGTCTGTAGAATATCTACTGAGTACTTGGACTTATTGAAGTGGGACTGTTTTAATTCTTAGAGTACTTAGAATGGAACAAAACTTGACAAATAGCTTTTAGTTAAAGACATCTTTTCAAGAGGAAAGTACACATGCATCAGAATGTATTGGGCTTAATACCAAATAATGGGAGAAAGATTTCTGTGTCTCATTACCTAACTTCCTAAGCTCTGTAATCAGTTCTCCATTACTGAATCCCTCCATTCCCCCAAATACCAGCTCTTCAGTGGCCCCTAGTCAGTACTCAGTGTTCCCTCTGCTCTGCTTGGAGCTGTGTGAACAGAAAGCCAAGATCGTTGTGCGAACAAGTCCTGCCTTAGCATAATCAACTAATGGTATTTACTGGAAATGATATTAGACCGTTCACATTTTGAATTAAGGCAGATATTTATTTTATTCCATTAAATGCAATCCATTGACAGGAAAGTGTACTATCTGCTAACACATTTCTCTTGCCCCTACACACCTGCACAACATAAAACCCACATCCACCAAATGCTATGGGGTATGGATGGAAAGATTTACCTCCACTGCTTAGTGTGTTCCTATAGCACGGACAGGGGGAAAACCTGGATGGAAATTGGTTTCACAAATCTGGCTTGGCATTATTTTCCAACATTTCTGCTTTGCTTTGGCTGTAGAAGCTGTGATTGTACAAGCTGGTCTGGCTTGAGCATTCAGTTCAAATAAACAGAGGTGGGGAAGCACTGTTAATTTTGTTGACTGGAAAGTGCTCTGGGAAACTGAATGCCATCAGCCTCGTTTTCAGTTTCACACCGAAAGAACTCTTCACTCAGGCTGATTTTGTCGTCCCCCCCCCGCCCCCATGCACTCCATCCTTGGGGCTGAGGAAGTTGTATTGAAACTGGATTAGGAGAAGACTATTGAAACATACTAATTCTTGAACTTTTGGTTGTGAGCCTTAGCCTTTAACGTCCAAGCTATCTCTCCAGCCCAATATATTTAATTCTTATTCGAAGAAATATTAAGCAAGATAAATGAAACCTGTCATTTATTTTCACTGTCAGAATACACAGAGATAAGAAACATTTATTTCTAATAATTCCACCACTTTCTCATCCCTCATAACCAGCAGGCTCAAGTCAGCTCTTCATACCCATGCCAGTCAGTGTCAACACCTTTTTCCTTTACTCTTGAGAACACGCAGAAAACGAGTGTTTGCACGGGCCACATAGATAGGGAGCATTAACTGGGGCTTCTGCTCCGTTTCCCTAGACAGGCCTGGCACACCCACCTAGATCTGTGGCGCTGCTGAGTGCAGACAACGCCTCCCGATCCGGGAGAAGCAGCCGCCAGGTGGCAGCGCTGAGCCTGCCTGAGCCTGCAGCAACGTGGGAAAACGTGGGGACATCCAACAGTCTCTTCCTGGTCTCCGGAATCAGTTAACCCCCAACGCTTCACCTTCTCTAGGAAGTGGTTCAAGGGACCAGTGGGAAACAGGGTGTGTTGGTGAATTCTGGGCATTTCCCCCCGTTTGTCAAAGTTTAGGGTAACCAACCTCTGCCCTCTGTTTGCTTGTCGGAAAGCCCCAAGGGCTGGGGAAGCCGAGATTCTCGGCTTCGGATCTGGTAACCTCACTCGGGAGGTCATGGGGTGCCCCGCGCCCCTGGGTCATCTCCCTCGGGCGGGAAGGAGCAAGAATGCCGTTTCTTCCGCCAGCTGCGCGCTCCGCTTCCGAGGCGGCAGCGACACACGGCGCATGACCAAAGGATTCCCAAAGGCCATCCTCGCTCCCGAAAAGAAATGGTTTCCGTGGCCCCGGCACGCCTGGCCGAGCGCAGCGACAGGGGTTCTGCCGGAGCTCGCCTGGGACTTCCCCGTGCACCGGCCGAACCTAGCCTTTCCGTGACTCTTACAGAGAGGAGCTAAACTGCAATCGACTGGGGCCGCACTTTTCGGAGGAAAGCCTTTCCTACTGTAAACGTGGCTCGGGCGATGCTCGCAGCGGCGTCTCAGCACTGCCTTCCGAGGAGGGTCACGGCCAGGCAGGCGCTGGCGACACCCCCCCCTACCCCCCCACCCCCCAGCCTGCTTCAGCTCCTGGGCCTCCTTTGAAGTTGCAGCTCGAGCAGCCACTTCGGAAGGGGGTGGGGTGGGGTGGGGACCCTGCCCAGCCCCTCCCCCGATGCGCCCCTCCCCTTGCCGCCAGCTTGGACCCTGACCGCTGGGGCCCAGTTCCGCCACTGACCGGAACCGACAGCCATTTGGTCCCTTGGAGCACTCGGGTGCCTAACAGCCCCTCACCCTCCGAGAGCCTCTCCTTGAACCAAACAGTGCGCACTCAGCGTCCGGGACTCAAGCTTCAGCTCCCAAGGGACTGGTCCCCTTGGGAGGGGCAGTGCACCCGCAGCGGCCCAGAGCTCTTTCCTAGAGAACGAAGGAACCGGACACTTTGCTCCCCACCCACAGGGTCCTAGCTCGATTGCGAAGGTAGAGGTGTCTCTGTCAGTGAGTCCACAGGGGACCTCGAAGGTACCCCAGAATGCCAGGAGCCCTTCCCGAGGGGGCGTGCCCTATGCTCAGGGCAACCGGGAAGATGGATAAACCGAAAGGCTGAGCCCCCGAGCTTCGTTCCTCCGGAGCTTAGCCTGTTTTCTTCCTGCAACCCCCGAAAACAGGACCCGGAGTCCTACTAGGGCATCCCCTCCCAACCCTGGCGTGCCTCCCCTGTCATCCCTCCCCCCCCCCCCCCCCCCCCCCCCCCCCCCGCTTGTATTCCTGGTCCTCGAGCCCACAGCCAAGTAAAAGCAATTACAGTTTGGAATCCCAGGAGGCAAGCAAATGATTTCGCTTATGAAAAGAACTGACTAAAGTAGAGTTCCCTAAAGGTTAGGGAACGAGGGAGCCGCCTTGGAGGCTGAGAGACGGGCGGGGCGGGACGGAGGGCATGCCGCCGGAGAGTGGTCCACGGAAGCCACGCAGTGTCAGAGAAGAGGGGAGGAGCAAGAGCAAAGGCGCGCGCGTAGCTGCAGAGGGACGAGCAGGCGATCGAGGAGGCTGCCAGGTGATGGGAGTCAGAGGAGGGGAGAAGGGCGCACCCCCACCGGCAGCTGGCCGGGCGGCGGGCTCCTCCTGGCACACGAACTCTCCTTTCCCAGCCTTTCACCTCCGGCTTCCCGCGCGTGCAGACTGCACCAAGACGCACACCGCGCTGGGGGCGCTCGCG